TTCCCTTTATGGCTTAAAGACTAGATCTTGTTTGTTCGGACCATTCTAATGGATAAAGTTGGAAACTTTATCCATTATAGATCTATTAGGAACCATAAAAATATGATCTTGGTCCTCCTATCCCTTCCATGCAAGAGTTGTAATGTTTTAATGAGTTAATAAGTTAGGGTTTTAGCTTTTGGATCTTCCCTGGCCATGGAAATTCATAAAGGTGAAACTCTATGACTTAATACAATGTTTTGAGGCTAGATCTGAGTTTAGGTGAAATGTCTGTAAGGGATTAAGTGCTTAATGGAAAGGATGGAACCAACTCGAGTATGCTGAGTGTAATTTTTGTATGTTGGTCGTACTAATCTATCCCATGTACATGGGGCATAAGTTGATTATACAGGGCATACTCAACCAACCTTGGACTTTGACTTTTGTTGACTCCGTTGACCGTTGAATTTTTGACCAAGTTTGACTTTAGGTAACTAAAGTAGAGAAAATGACTTTAAAAGGTAACTAAGTTTCAATTTTGTGCAAAAACACCTTGAAGTCTATCATGTTCAAAAAATGCCTACAAACTAAAGAATTCATTTAAAAAAATACCATTTAAGTTTACTTTTTGTTCTTATCTAACCTTGTAATAAACTGTGGTATACTAGCTGACGTGGCATTTGTTTTTTACATGTGGATTTCTTAGTTGGCATAAAACTCCATATAGGATATTTTCATCCACAAAACCCATATTTATTGAAACAAACTAAGGTAAGACTCTTCCCATCCTTTGTGTGAATAGCTTCTTCCTTCTTCATCCATGGCTTCTTATTCTTCTTCTTCTACTTCTTCAAAATCAATGATCTATAAGTGTATCTGAAAGCTTCTTATCCAAGCCCGGAATAATTTCTTGGTTATGCAATCTATTTTTTCAAAATATGAAGGATGCAAATATGAAAATTTGTAAGTTGTGGAAATGGGTTGATGATGGTGAACCAAGAAAAAAAAAGACAAAGTTAGATGAAGAATAGCCATAAGCAAGTTCAACGGAAGTGAGGATTTCAGTATTGGAAAATGATTTGAATTTGTACAAGATGAAGACAGATGTGGATGCAGATTGTATTAGTTTTAAAATGAAATTCGATGAAATGGCTAGGAAATTGGTGATTCAAAAATGTTGTATGTAGATGCTTTTTATTATGCTTGTAGTGAAAGCATGATATAATATGTATTTATATGCTTTTGTACAGGGATGCTTTTGTAGCTTTAATGAAATCAAAGGCATATATGTCTATTTTTTACCCTTTACTTTGTATTCTTGAATTGAATGACTTATTCTAATGCTTTTGTAGCTTTAATGAAATCAAGGGCATATATGTCTGTTTTACTTGGTGATGTTAAAGTTGGGATCAGGAAAGTAATATACTAATGAAGTTATATGTTTTTTGGTGATGAATGCAACAAACGAAAACAATCTTTCATTTGTTTGTTTAATATAACATAACACTTCCATTTTTTTCAAATTCATACATTTTACTAAGTTTTACCATTAAACTTCTAATTTTTTTCATTATACTTTGAAAATTTTAGTTGATAATTTATCTTAAAATTGATTTGTATTTGAATGAAAAGTAGGATGCCAATATATAACAATGAACATGTAATATGAGTAAATGAAAAGTAGGATGCTATTCACTGTTTTTTAACTGTTCATAGAGTGAATAGGAGAAAAAATGGTCCAGTTATTATTAGGGGCAAAATGGTCCAGATATTTTGCTCTTTTCTATACAACTACAATTCCTCATATTACAACCATAGTCCTAAAAGTTGATTAAACTCTTACAATTAAACAACTATTTCATGATTCATTAACGATTAATTGGTAAAACTTTGTTTCATCTATTGATTTTTCATTCTCTTCATCAACGTTTACTTATTGATCATGTCCTATTAGTTATTATTTGCATTGTCATTAGATAATACTTAACAAGAACACTATTTTCTCACAAGTAGCATCTAGATTAATTAAAAACCTTCAAATTAGCATAAAATAACTATAAGACATTACTAGGAAAACAACCTTTTACGACGCGCAATGCATGTCGTAAAACGCTTAGATGACGCGCAAATGCATGTCAAGGAAGGCCCTGTCATAACGCGAGACGACACACTTTTGCGCGTCGTCTATTCACGACGTGCATTTACGACGTGCAATTACGACACACATTTACGACACGTGTTTACGACATGCATTGTGTGTCAAGGAAGGCCCTGTCATAAAGAAAGACGACACACATTTGCGTGTCGTAACCTTACGACGCGAGTTTAGGACACGCTTTGTGTATCATTAAAGCCCTTGTCATAAATGAAGATGACACGCATTTGCATGTCATAAACTTCAACAACCATTTACAATATACATTTACGATCCGTCTTTACGATACTCATTTATGCATAATACAAAAATATGGAAACAAATATATACCAAAACAATCAATTTCATCCAATAACATCATGTCAAAAAATTGTAATACATTGATATTAAGAGGATCTGATTGTACAATGTTATTAAGAGGTCTTCCCTAACTATATAACCTAATACTACATTGCTATTAAGGAACACCTTCTTGTTTCTACTTCTTATTGCTATGCTTTTGCTTCCACATGATACATGTTTTCATCATCAACACATTATGTGACATCCCCAAAATCTCGGCCAGAAAAGATCGGTTTCATTTATGCTTTTTAAACATTTTCAGAGTAAATCCTTTTGATTTTAAAAGAGATGTGGAATTTGTTCCCAAAAACAAAGTATGATAAAATAATATTTACCAAAGCATTTCATAAAGAAATGTATTTTCATTATATAACCAAAACTCGGGATTTCATGTTCCAATACAGACCATAAAGCATAAACGATAAACATTACAAGTCATTCAACAAATATATACATATACAGACTTGTAAACAAAAAACAACTTGATGATTATCCATCTCATGCCCTTGCGCCACTTCCTGTAATACAAAGAAACTGAGTAGGCCAGGCTTGGGAGCCTGGTGAGCATATACGGTTTTCAACCCACAATAATTAAATTAATTTTCATCAATCAACAATAACACAATTACCCATTCCCGTAATTCTCATTTTATGTCCCTAAAATAACTAACACAAGGGACCTAGTCTAAGAATATTTCATCGGGGCGACAACACATGCATTCGGGGGTTTCCCGGCAATATATGTCAAATAAGGCAACCATTAGGGGGGGGGGGATGGATTACATCGAATGAACACCCAAGTTCATTAACACCTACAGGTGGCGAGCCTGCTAGTGTTCCACAAGACTATCTAGAAAAGTCAGTGGTCGTCATCTAAACTCTGCTAGATGACTGAATCAAAACAACATCGAGGCCTCTCATCTGTTTTATTACACACCAACTATCTATCCATGTTCTACCCAACATATTAGTAGATAAAATATACATTTTTTATACATAGTTTAAAACCTTTATAGCATGCTTTAATCAATACATATTCCACATAACAGATGAGGCACACACACATAACATGTATTTCATAGAGAATAACTCAGATCTATGAGATAGAATAGAGTGAACATACATTCACACATATAACAACAAAATATATACACATAGCACATATTTTATATAAAATCCTTCATAATAATGTGTTGGAATGAAAGTGACTATACACTCACTTAATCAGAAGATGATTCGACAGCACTACGGCTTATAGAAGAGTATACTTCGATAGATCTGGAAGATCTTCACCAAAATCGGACTCCTTGTGGATAGAGCTTCGTCTCGGGAATAACGCTCTTGGGGATCCTCGGGGCTTCGGATCTTGCTTCGGGACTCGGGAATGATACCGGGGCTTCGGGATATGATTGGCACGCAAATCGAGGCAAAAACTAGAGAGAAGAAAGGGTTTGAACAAGAGAAAATGGTTGATCTCGGTTTCTATTTATAGGTTGAGGGTTTGGGATTACGTTGGGCGTAATTCCAATTTACGATGGGCGTACTCAGTACGCTGGGTGTAACTTGGTTACGCTGGGCGTACTTTGACGTCACTGCGTGCGTCGACCGGTGTCACTCGAGTATTGGTCAGACAAGTTGCATCTGTCTGAGTACGCTGGGCGTACTCAAATTACGTTGGGCGTAATTTGAATCATCAAACTTCTAAATTGCGTAACCCTCGCATACGATCTCCGTTTTCGACATTCTTTATATCCACGCGTAGGTGAGACTACGCTCTACAACTTTCGTTTAGACTCCGTCGGCTAATTTTGACTTTATTTTTAGAAGGCCCGGACAGGAAAACTTCGTTATAAAATCATAACTTCTTCGTCCGACGTCCGTTCTCAACTATCTTTTCATCGTTTCACTACTAACAACGAAATCTTCGATTCTCATTTAGATTATTTCGGCTAAAAACCGCTCGATCTCAAATCGAGTATTCGAGCTGCATACTGCCAAGTCGAAACTTCAGAAAATATAACTTCCTCATACGAAGTCAGATTTGGGCGTTCTTTTTATGCATGCTCTCAGTTTAATGAACTCTACGACTTTCGTTTAGATCACAAAGGCTAAATATCACTCTATCTTAATTTCATAATTTACGTCATTCGGCGTCGTGCCGGTTCTGTCGGGAAACTTCGACAGGTCATAACTTCTTCGTTATAACTCGGATTTTGGCATTCCTTATATCTCCGAAATCCTTGTTTCGACCACTACAACTTTATGCAAAGATATCGGCTTATCTTGCACTTTAATTTTGACGCTTATTTTATTCTTAATTCATTAAATTATAATAATCAAGAAAATAAACACATAAATCACATAATTCACAAATAATACATTTTTATTATTTCAAATTTGGGTTACAAAGGTTAACCTTGAGTATTACATTGCTAAAAATGGCAAGCCCAGAAACACAGGCGTTACACATTAGTATTCAGAAAAGTTTCACGCATAATCAATCTATATTATAACATATTAAAGTTTAATACACATGTTGTAAAATACCTTTTGCCAAGAATCCAGGGTTCAATACATCCCATACCTGTATAAAATATTAAAATTTAATACACATGTAGATTATAAACGTTAATATGAAAGAGTGAAATAGTAAAATACCGTTTGCCAATTGTCATTGCAGCAATTAAATACAGCCCATACCTGTAAAAAATATTAAAATTTAGCTTGGAGCCATACTCTAAAAAAAAGGATAACTTTGAAGCCCCTATAAACTTGCATACCTATTTTCAATAGAATTTATGTAAGAAAGAAGAATATGATTCAAGTTTCCAATATAAAATATAAGTTACCTCTCTGGAATTAAAAATGTCCTAGGGATAGATAATGTGGTAATTTGAGAAGACAAAAAGGTCCTTAAGAGAGAATATGATTCAAGTTTCCAATATAAAAACCAGAGCCACCTGATTTACCACCCTGCAATACATAAATATATTTTTTTAATATTATTAAAAAAAAGAACAGCTACAATGCTATATATATATATATATATATATATATATATATATATATATATATATATATATATATATATATATATATAGTAATTTGTAATCAACTAACCTTTTCTTTATAAGAATCCATAGAAGATGCCATCTTTTCACATATTTATGCCTTAGCAAAAAAGTAACCATAATTTTCCTGTAGAGTCTCATCATATACAAACACAACCCCTTTGTATATTTGCTTGACAATTCCTAGTTTATCCTGCAAGGTTTACCCAAACCACCAGATGCTTCATACATAATATAATAAATTTCAAGTCTAACTTTGATGATAACAAACTTGAAACTTTTAAATTAAGAACAAACCTCTAGTGGTCCTTCCAAGACCCTCACAGTGTTATTCATATATATGATCTTTTTATGTTGATCCAAGGCATTGAATTTCTTATCAAAATCGGCCTTCTTTAACATACGAGCTTCAATTGCCACTACCATCATCCGTTCTGTATCTTCCTCAAAAATCTGGAAATAAAATGTTGATATCATAAATAAATAAATAAATAAATAAATAAATAAATAAATAAGAAACCAAACAACAGTCAAAAGAATAAGAGTGATTATAAACATAACATTATTACCTTAATGCTGTCATCCTTCTCTCTCCAAATTACAATCCCAAATGACTTGCGACTTCAAACAAAATTACGAAAAAAAACGTATAAAGAAATGAAAAAAAAGGTAATGAAGGAGAACATATCATATAGTTATAGAGAGAGCATACCCATGGAACACAAGATTAGGAACTTCAAAACTATTCTCCATGCTGGAGCTCCCCTCTCCTTTTTCACCTGTTTTATCGTTATTTACTGTTTGTGTTTTTCTTTTTACGTTCACCAAAAAGTCCAGTAAGCCATTCTACATCATTGGATTCTTCTTTATTGGCAGGTATAAATTTTATAAGCCCGGCTTCAGTAGGCCTGACATCCTAGAAACTTAATGAATCCAATGGCACTTTTTTGTATAGGTAACCATCTTTCAGTGCCATTCCATCAAAAAGCTCATATGTTTTGGATTCTTCTTTATTGGCAGGAATAAATTTTAGATATTTTTTCATTCAAAAAATAAAATTCAACAGGTATAGTATGCGTTCAATTTCAATTTCAAAAAAGAAAAAACAAACACTAATAGTATACCTACCTGTATGTAGGTTCATATGATTGGAGATCCTTGCATTCATGAAGATTTGAAAATGAAGGATGATGGGCAAGTTAATGAATCATATAGGGAAGAATGTATGCGCTATTAACCAACCATGAGTTCACATCACTTTGTCTTGCCTTTACTTGCTGACACATCTGAATAATGTCAACCGGATTCTCCTTATCTTGCCAAAAATAAATTCCCAAATTCAACTTCAATATTCACATCTTCCAATGCAAAAATACCAACATACTTTTCTTAGTTTCTTTACCATAGGCATAGCATCCTTCTTTCATTTCCTCCTATTAAGATATTATTATACTTTCCAAATCTAAACTTCTTTGATTTTGGTTACCAATTATAGTGCTATACTTCCGGTTTTGTTCTTATTAAGGCATTGTACTTGGTAGTGTTCTTTGTATTAAGACATTATACTTTGACAATCTAACATATTAAAACCTCATACTATGATATACATGTCTTGTACTATATATACATGGAAGATACTATATTAAACATTCAAATAACACAAAAGATCAACAACTCAGCAACAAATTAAAATCATTATTTTGCTCCATAAAACGATTAAAGAGCTACAAAAGAGTACACCAGGGGATAACCTCCACTACAACACTTTCTTATCATAAAGTTTATTTTCTTTTAGAAAAGAAGTGAAAATGTAGGAAGTAATCCCAAAAGCATTTTATGATCTGTTGTTCATAACCTTGGCCATCAGTTAAATGGCTATAAGATAAAAAACTTTGAGAAAATTACTATGTAATCCACTGAAAAGAACACAAAATGGATGTGATTAAATATATTTCACTTACATTAAATGTGCGTTGATCCACAAGGTTGAACATTACGAAGCAATCTCTCGAAGATGCTTTTTCATCTCCATAAATCTGGCAAGTCAATAAATTGAGTTAAAATAAGGGAAATTTACAGGAAAACCATTATATTTTGGGCAGTTTTGTAGTTTAACCCCTAATACTTCATTGTTTTTATTCAAACTATAAAAGTTTCAAACATTTTCCCAAATGAACCCTCTTGACGTGTTATATCATGTCAAAAATGCTTAAAATGTAAAAACATCTGGAATGGAACTTTTATGGTTTAAATGAAAAAAACATATAAATGGTTAAACTGCAAAAAAAAATTATAATGTTTTTTCTAGAATAGTTGGGTGTATATACTATATACTATATAGTATATACAATTACAAACCTCAAAGGTGAAAGCCATGGGGACCTTTGCTACGTCAAAGATGTAATATGTAGTGGTACCATGTGCTAGACACTAATTTAAATGCAACCTAATTTCATTTATTTCTAAATAAAATTATCATCATCCTACTACAACATATATTGTATTTAAATTATTATTTTTTTATCGAAAAAATCTATATTTTTGAATTTACGTGAAGATATATTATAAATAATAATACTGTGACAACCCGATATTTCGACTTTATGTAATGACCTAAAAAGTAAGGTATTGTAACCACTTTTGATATAATGAAATTAACTTAGAAAATAAAATGTGCAAAAGTGTAACACCGAAAATTTTCAAAACAAAATTTTCAATTTTTATAAAACATAATTCCATTGATATTCATTAAACAACCATTTTAATTATCCAAACAAGACAATACAAAATCCCAAGATCATGATATCAAGCTCCGAATGTGTGTGTGTACGGATCAAGCCGGCACCTTCCCGCGGTCGTCACTAGTACCTGAAACAATAACATCAACACCGTAAGCACAAGGCTTAGTGAGTTCCCCAATATACTACATATAACACATATTAGCCACTCGAGGCTATAACTCTGTGGGTCCGTGCACCCAAACTCTGTGAACCCTCAGGTTCTAACTTGTGAACCTTCCGGTTCTAACTCTGTAAACATGCACAGCATCAAACACATAGAAGTAATGCAGTACAACACATAACATACATAGCATACAAATACTCTATCACATAACTCTGGTTACCTATTCAAGGTAAAGTATAGTGAGAAGACTCACCTCGCGTGTCTCGGTAAATCGTAAACCTGAAATCGCTAATCACTCGACCTGTCGAGCTGTCGTCCCCCTATAGCACAATACACCTCTAATTAACACTTTCCCAACTAGGGTTGACCACACTATAACAAGTCAATCTAGGTCAACGCTGGTCAACGGTCAACGGTCAACTTTGACCGGACTCGGCGAGTACCCAGGCGACTCGGCGAGTCTGGGCGTATACACCAATTTCCCTGGAATCCTCCCTTGACACGTCGAGCATTCCCTCAACTCGACGAGTTCCACCTGGCACGAGTTGTGGGGCCACCACGACTCAACTCGCCGAGTCTCAAGAACAACTCGGCGAGTCCAGTTAGACTCAGTCCACCTGTCCATTCTGACTCCCCCTTGACTCACTGAGTCCACCTTTCCCAACTCGGCGAGGCCACTCACAGTGTGGTCGGGCAACATTCATGCTACTCGCCGAGTCTGTTCTTCGGACTCGGCGAGTCCATGCCATGCACTGACTCAATCTTGCTCTAAAGGTCAGATCCAGTTCATTAATCCATAGATCCAGTCCCTCCAAGCTCATTTAGCACGTAAAGTTACAATCTTGATGCACATACAACCTCTATATGACCATATATGATGTTTATGACTCAAATACTACAACACAAGGTCAAAGACTCTATTGTCACTCATAAAGCTTGATGAGTGAGGCTCTCTGGACCTCTATGGATCCAGATCCATGGCCTCAACTCAAAGAGGGAACCAATGGGCATCAAATCATCCCATAAATGACCACCACAAGCCCTAAATTGCATCATGCTTCACTAAACAGAAAATGGTCCGAGATAATACCTCTAGAGTGATGATCTAAGCTCCAAATCCACGAAATAGCAACCTCCTTTGCTTCCTCTTGCCTAGGGTCTCCTTCTTCTTGCTAAATAACACACACAAGATCAAGAATGGCTCCTTTCTCTTCACAAATAGCTCAAGAACACAAGGGTCACTCACTGAGGGTTGGGTGAGCACAAATGACGGCCATAAGGCCCTTTAAATAGGCCTCAAACCCGGAGATTTAGGGTTTCATTACACAGCGCAGACTCGCCGAGTCCATATCCTGGACTCGCCGAGTCCAGGCGCGCACCAATGTTCAATTCCGCGTCTCTACTCGGCGAGTCTGAGCTCCAACTCGCCGAGTCCCTCTCACAATATGACAAAATTAGATTTACAAGATACCTGGTAAAATCCGGATGTTACAACTCTCCCCCACTAGAACTAGACTTCGCCCTCGAAGTCTCGCTCTAAAATAGCTCCGGATGCTGCTCCCGCATCATACCCTCCGGCTCCCAGGTCATTTCTGATCCCTTCCGATGTTGCCACTGTACCAATACCAGAGGTACCTCCTTGTTCCTCAAAATCTTGATCTTCCGATCCCTAATAGCCACTGGTCTCTCAGCATAATTCAGGCTTGCATCTACCTGAATATCCTCTAATGGAACCACTGCCGACTCGTCGGCTATACATTTCCTCAACTGCGATACATGAAAAGTGTTGTGAATCTGCCCCAACTCTGCTGGTAACTCCAGCCGATAGGCTACCCGGCCTACCCTTTCGATCACACGAAACGGACCTATAAACCGGGGCCCCAATTTGCCCCTCTTCCTGAACCGGATCACTCCTTTCCAAGGAGAAACCTTCAGGAGAACAAAGTCGCCGACCTGAAATTCCAGCTCGGACCGGCGTCTATCCGCGTAACTCTTTTGTCGGCTCTGAGCGGTCAATAACCTCTGTCTGACCAGCTGTATCTGCTCTGTCGTCTGATTCACGATCTCTGTACTGCCCATTACCCTTTGCCCAACCTCTCCCCAACATATGGGAGTCCGACACCTCCTACCATACAACAGCTCAAAGGGCGGCATACCGATGCTCGAATGATGGCTGTTATTGTAGGAAAACTCCGCCAAAGGCAAATACGTATCCCAACTACCCCCAAAGTCCAATACACATGCCCGAAGCATGTCCTCAAGTGTCTGAATCGTCCGCTCACTCTGGCCGTCGGTCTGGGGGTGGTATGCGGTACTAAAATGCAGCTTAGTACCCAACTCCTCATGAAATTTCTTCCAGAAGCGGGAGTGAAACGCACATCGCGGTCTGAAACGATCGAGATCGGCACCCCATGCCGAGATACAACCTCCCTCACATAAATCTCCGCCAACTTCTCCGCCGAAGAACTCTCACTGATGGCAAGAAGTGAGCGCTCTTCGTCAACCTATCCACAATCACCCAAATTGCATCGACTCCTCTGGCAGTCCTCGGCAATTTGGTGATGAAATCCATAGTGATCTGTTCCCACTTCCATTCGGGAACCTCCAATGGCTGCAACTTGCCATGCGGTCTCTGGTGTTCGGCCTTTACCCTTCGACAGGTCAAACACCTCTCGACAAACCATGCGACATCCCTCTTCATACAAGGCCACCAATACTCCTTCCTTAGGTCCAAATACATCTTTGTAGCCCCGGGATGGATCGAAAATTTCGATCTATGAGCCTCCTCCATCAATGTAGTACGTGTACCGCCTACAAACGGTACCCAGATCCGGCCCTGATAAGTCATA